CTTCAACAACCAGAAATCATTGCCAACTGAGAGATACCTAATTTTCAGAATCAAAATTTTATCATGTGTCTATTTCAATAATTCAAGATATATTTAGAGGAACACAACACGCTCAGGTTTTCAGGGATATATTGTTTAACCTCTTAATCCAGCCTAAACACACTGGAAAACGTGTAAAAAAGAAAAAGAAGCTGGACCCTTGAATTTATATCTCAGGTTGACAAAAAGTTTGCTTTAGTTCTTTGTGAAATATTTTCACACTGAACGTTTAATTCTGATGTAGAAGAGTATCTTATACCTACAAAAGTTTGAGGGTCGTAAGTCTAAGACAGCCATTTTAAAACATGTGAACACATACAGCGTCATTGGGAAAGACTGTAGAACACATAACCAGCCCCACTGGAAATCTGAATTTTCTCCTAAGACAAGTATAGGAGAGCCACTGTGTATTTTAGGTTGTTTTGCTCTCAGTCCTCAATGGTTGTGAGAAATAGTGGAGTAACTAAATTCTGTTACAGAAAAGTCTCTCAAGACACCTTCCATCACATTTCCTCCAGAAAAACAAAATTCAATTGCCCAGTTTTGATGCCAGCCTGCACTTTTCAGGATGACACATGCATATAAAGGATCTTCTGTCCCTCCATCAGCTGCCCTGTTTCTACCTCTTTTCGGTGCAGCTCAGACTCAAAACCTGTGAAACAGAACTTCTGAGCTTCCTCTTAACTCTTTTCTGATTGTAGCTCAAAAAGCAACACAAACCATCTACTTGCTCAAGTCAAAAGAAGAAAGGTGTCGCGTTATGTGTCGCGTTTTGGAGTCTTGTCTCTGATAGGTATTCTATGTGCACCTCCTTATCTACTTTGGTGCCTTTTAAGGTACCCTCATCAGCTTTTTCCTGGATCCTTGAAAGAATGAAATGGATTTCTATCAGATCTCCAACTCCTTCCTACTTTGTATAGCCTCCAAGCTCCATTTCCCAACTCGGGAGCCACCGAGATCCCATGAAAGCAAATTAGATTGCATTCCACCAATGGAAAAACTCCAGTGCCATCTCATCTCATCTCATTCAGAGCTTAAATCAGAGGCCCTAAAACATTGTTGTATGAAACCCACAATTCCTGCCCCCATACTTGACGTCTCCCTCTCTGACTCCTCCCCATCTACTGCAAGATCCCCCAGATCAAGATCCTGGCTCATTCCCGGCCAGATCATCTGTCTTAGGATTCTGCACTTGCTACTGCCTTTGCCTAGAAGGTTCTTTCTCTAAATATTCATTCTTGATTTTTATGAACAAATCATCCTCAATGACAGCTTTAATTTTTATATCCCCCCTTTTTGTTTTGATCTGCATGTTTACATTTGCATTTCCTCACACAGCACCGTCCAGTGTAACCTCCTTCAATGATGGAAGTGTTTGACACTCATGATGAAGAATATATTCTTTACTAACCCTCAGAGGTAACCGAGCCGTTAAAAAAATGACACATAGATTTCCCACCATGATCCAGAAATTCCACTCCTGGACATGCAGCCAACAGAACACAAATAAGGCTATAGCAAAGCCACAAGCACAACCATGTTCATTGTAACACTATTCACCACAGCCAAAATATGGCATCAGCTCAGATGCTTATACACACACACACACACACACACACACACACACACACACACACACACACACACACACACACACACACACACACACACACACACACACACACACACACACACACACACACACACTGGAATTTTACTTATCCATTAGAAAGAATAATATTGTACCAGTCATAAGGAAATGGAAAGACTTGGAAAGAATTATATTAAAGGAAGTTGGCCAGATGCAGAGAAACAAAGGTTGCATGGTTTCTCTCATTAGTGGTAGATAGAAAGTGCCTATACATCTGTAAGTAAACATAACGAGTGGTAAGCAAGCAGTTCCAAATGAATTAACTGATAATAGACATTGTGGAGAGCTCAAATAGTACAATTGTTTAGAGAGATTAATCAAAGCCCAAAAAATAACACCAGGATATGGGTATTTACAGGGAGCTGGCACCAAGGAGAGAGGGGTAGACAATGAACAGGGGGATCTGGGGGAGTGAATAATTCTTTATATAATGAATACCACAAGTTAAGAAACATAAGGCAAGGGGTGGGTCTAAGAGGGAGGAGACTGTTGAAGGGGATGGCACAGATCAAGTTGTATTGCATTCATATACTGCCTTGTTAAATGACATCTTCCCTGTAAAACTACTTAAAGATGATAACAATTAAAAAAAACTTTAAACATTGGGCAAGGAACCTAAGGGACACCTTATTTAATTTAATCTTATTTTAATTCAGTTATTTATATTTAACGTTGACCTTTTATCATGCATCTAAATCCATTGAATTTAATTAATTTAAATTAAATTCAAGTTTAGATCAGAACTTGTTGCTACTGGCTACCATATTGGATGTCAAAGTTCACCTAGAATTCATTTTTGTATATTGAATGAAGGACTAACATTCCTTTTTTGAAAAAATAGTAATATACAGTTTTCCCAGAACCAGTGATTGAAAAGGAAAACTCTCTTTCCCTATACATCAATATCACCTTGTCAAAAACTATAAATTTCTCAAAAAGTCTATATATTTATGTGAATCTACTTATAGATTTCTCTATGTGTTGCATTAGTATATTTATATTTGGTAGACTTCAAATCTATTCTTCAAGACTGATTGGTTTTTCTTATCTCTTCCTATTTGCTCATGTATGAGTCTGTACATTTTCACCAAGAGAACCACATCACCTAGAATTTTCATTTTGATTTGTACTAAAGTAATATCGTTTGGAAATATTGACATTACACACTGTCATTACAATTGTACAATGGAACTTTATATTCCTTGATTCATTTAGGATGGAAATTATTTTAAAGGGCCTCTTATTTGTGTAGAAGTTGGCATATCTTTCTTTTTTAATATTTTTTTATTGTAAAGATACTGTTCAGAGGGGTTACATGTACAGTTACATGAGCAAGGTAATAAATCCATTTCCTATCAAGCATTGTTACTCCCTCCTTTGTTTTCCCCTACCATTCCTTCCCTCCCTACCTTCCCAACTCCTCCAAAGTTGTAAAGTTCATTTTCAACAGTGTCTTATACAACTTGTTACAATGGGTCATCCTGTATCCTTATTTTGGCACTTTGTTATTTCCCTTCCCCTTCCCAAATTATAAAAATGTATATACCAGATGCAGGGCACCAGAATCAAATACAGTGAAAACAGGGGTTATACCATGGGAGAAGAACACACAAAAGAAACAAAAAAAATCACATAGTACATTATAAGTACTTTAAAAACAGCAGCAACAAAGAATAAACCTCTTGTGTACCTATCTTGGGGTTCATTTTGCTTAGTATCGTCTTATATGGTCATATGTACATAGCTTTTGACCTTTTCTGCTTGTACTAGACATACACTAGTTATTGCAGATAAGGGAAGCCATGCATATATCTTTCAATACACTTAATATCATGTGCTTGAGATTTGATGCTATTGAAAACCGATCCTGTAAAAGATTATATAAGTTATATATATATATATATATATATATATATATATATATATATGTTGTCTATACTACACTACCTCAGTCTCACTCCCTCTATCGTACTCCCTGCCTACTCTGCCCCAAAATGTCATTTTCTAATTACTATATTGCTTCTACACAGAAATAAAATAAAGTTTATTTTAATTTGGAATGCAGTGATGATTCTAAATTGTAACAACCTACTATGGATTGTTTAGCATTGCTTCATATACAACCTAGTGATCTATGAGAATCTATAAGAGAATTGCAAAACCATGAGTATAAATATTTGCACTTATTTCTTTCTCTTGCTTTACTGCACTGGTTAGGTCTCTGGTACAATGGTGAAGACAGTGATAACAATGCTGCTGTCAGGAGAAAAACTTGCAATCTTTTGCTTTAACTATTTCATGGGCTATTCTGTTTTCATGGATGCTCTTTACAAAATTAATTTCCTTCCTTTAGTAATTAATTGAGTTTTTTTAATCATGATGGATATTGAATTCAATCAAATAAATTTTCTACGATTGTTCATTACTATGTGAATTTATGTAAGAAATTCTAGCATATAAAATACTTCGGGGCTGGGAAAGTGGCTCAGTTGGGCTGGGAAGGTGGCTCAGTGGTAGAGCGCTTGCCTTGCATGCATGAGGCCCTGGGTTCGATTCCTCAGCACAACATAAGCAAAAAGAAAAAAGCCGGAAGTGGCACTGTGGCTCAAGTGGTAGAGCATTAGCCTTGAGGTGAAGAGCTGAGGGACAATGCCCAGACCTAGAGTACAGGCCCCACAACCGGACCCCCCCCAAAAAAACTTAGTGTTTACATACATTTAAAAAGTAAGCTTTATTTGGTTTGCTTTGTTTTTTTCCCCCTTTTAGGGGGCACAAAGAGAACATGCAGAAAGGGAGGGAGGAAAGGTGAACAAATGCGATCATTACATTCAGCATACACTATGTGGAAAATTAATGCAACTTGTAGGCAGGGACAGGAGAGGGAAAGTTGGGGAAAGCAAAGGAAGAGATGACACTGTGCAAATAAAAAAAAGAAATGTATACATGACCTGACTTATGAAATGGTAACACCTCTGCATAAACTTTAATAATAACAATACAATTATATATTTTTAGAGCAAATATTTTTCAGAGCTACTCTGACAAAGTCTCCTTTTTTTGTTTTGGGACATAATAGGAAAGTCTTATTGTTCACTATTTTATATATGTATCACATGCCTAGAAAATTACAATATTATAAATCACTAACATTTAACTAATTTTTTTAAACTGAATGCTCCTTTTTAATGATCAAGACACAGTTTCGGCGTGTTAACAATTAGATCGACTTTCATCTTTGGTTTTGAGTATTGGATGCATTCGTGTAAAGCTAATTATTATTTAAATTAGCTGTGAATGTTGATGAACTCACCAGTCATATTGCAGTACAGAAGAAAGGGCCGTAGAGGACCACTTCCATCAGCATCTATGTAGTAAAAGCCGGAAGTATTTCCTCTGTGCTTATAGGCTTCACATGACTGCTCATAAATAGCTGTAAAAAGTAAAATCAGAAGAAATAATAATGAAGTATGCAGTGAAGACTTTGAACTTTTAATTTAGACCCTATTACTCAAAGTCTTTCACAAGTCAGTAAGTATATCCTACCCCCTCAAAGTAAAACTTATTCTTTAAAACAAAGTTTGTTTTTCCTTTCTTTATAACTTAATAAGGATTAAAGTGGTAAAAATCAAGGCAAGGGAAAGCAAGAGATTGTATTTTAATGATGAATTTCAGTGGAATATAAGACCAAAAGGCAATTTTAGCTTATTATTACATGGAACAAGGAAGAAAAAAAATGTGTTTAAATGTTAAGGTTTTTGTAAGTATAATGTGATACCTTATAACATTCCTTCTATAATTCCTAATTCTAGCATCACTTGTAATAACCTAATATCTGGATCATAGTAGTGTCATTACTTATCTGCTCTGTTCCAGTAAAAGAAAAAAATTAATAAATCAAAGAAAATAAAAATTACACACACACACGAACATACACACACACTATGGTGCCAGTACTGGGAATTGAACTCAGAATGTTGCCTTTTTTTTTAGCTTTTTACTTCAGTCTGGAGCTCTACCACTTGAGTGACAGCTCCATTTTTGGCTTTTTTTTTTTTTTTTGGTTAATTGAAAATAAGAGTTTCATGGACTTTCCTGGCCAGCCTGGATTTGATCTATAGATCCATGATCTATAGATCTCAGCCTTTTGAGTAACTAGGATCAAAGGCATGAGTCACCAGCACATAGTTAGAAATATTCTAAGTAACGTAAATGTACTCCTTTCTCATATAAAATGAACCAGGGGTGAATAGAAATACAATTCACAAAGCTGCTAGTCAATAATTTTTTGATGATTTACAAAAGAAACTTTCTGTAAGGCTGAGCATTCAAGGTAATTAAAATTCAAAGCAGAAGAAATATTTGTATGAAATAAGAGTTCTCAATGTGTTCTGATTCATAATGGATTTTTTTCTTATACAGGAATATATTTGCCATGCACTGAGTTTGATATTAACATCTCTACAGTCAAGCTTCCAATTGAATGCTTGGCCAAATGTACTGTTAATTTCCATTAAACCTTTCATGCCATGAAATTTGAAACAAATAAGCCCCTGGATATCCTTCTCTAAATCTATTTTAAAATTTTGAAAATGATGTTAATGAATGTTTGGGCAACATGGAACATTTATAGCTAATTTGTTCCATGTTACAAACATCTCAATCACAGAACTGTACAATCCCACTGGTCTCCATTCTGATTGTTTTGTTCTTATTACAGTATGCAGATGGGAATACAGGCATAGATTGTTTCTAGACACATCTGCCTCTTGGACACTGAAGTAGGCATGTAAAATGGTTAACTTTTATGTTTCAGTAAGTACATACTGAAGTTCATAAATGCCTTAACAGAGATTGGCAGGGTATGAGGGTACACACATAAATGTTCTGAAATGAAGTTTGGACTAAAAATAAACCAGAGCCAGGCAGCAGTGGCTCGAGCCTATAATCCTAGCTACCCAGGAGGCTGAGATCTGAAGATGATAGTTCAAAGCCAGCCCAGGCAGAAAAGTCCCTGTGAGACTCTTACCTCCAATTAACCATTCAAAAACCAGAAGTAGAGCTGTGGTTCAAAGTGGTAGAGTGCTAGCTTTGAGAAAAAGAGCTCAGAGACAGTGTCCAGGCCCTGAGTTCAAGCCCCATAACTGACATATATAATACATAAAGACATACATATATACATGCATGCATGCGTGCATGCATGCATACATACATACATACACATACCAGATGATGGAGATAAGGAGTGGGTAAATACAGTCATAGTGTTAATGCACACCTATGAAAATGGAACTTAGGTAACCTGAGGGAATGGGTGGGGTTGGGATAGATGAGCGGGGAGACTGAATGAGGAGGAGATAGGAGGGGTGGCACTAATCAAGATGCATTGTACTCATAAATTGACATGTTGAATTGAAACCACTTTGAACAACTCCTTAAAGATAATAAATACATAAACTCATCTAGTTAATTCATTAAAGACTGGAAACTAATAGAGCGCACACACACACACACACACACACACAGAGTACACAGACTGCAATGGACAGGGAAGAAGACAGTGGAGAAGAGGCAGCGGTGCGGCTGGCTTACAGCTGTGGCAGGTTGCTCCCGTGTAACCCGTGTCGGTGCAATCGCAGTGAAAGGCGCCCCAGGACTGAGAGCATTTGCCCCCGTGCTCACAATAGTTAGGCAGGCACCTGAAAGAGACAATCATCATTTGTCCTTTGTAGATATCTTTAAGTACCTTACTCAAGGCTGTCTACCACAACAGAGAGATACAGAAGATTCCGACCTGTAATTGGACAGAGATCGTTTGCAGAGTGAGAACAGAGGGAGGGAGGGGGAGGTGGGGGAGGGAGAGAGAAGGGGTTGTGGGGAAAGGATATGACCAAAAACTATATTCTATGCATATATGAACATACCACAATGGAACCCATTCTCCTGTGTATAGACTAAGATATTAATATATGCAACTCTATTTTACTATTACAGTGTCTAGCAAAGAATCTCCTAGAGAAGAGATTCTGTTGAATGAATGAATGATTAAGAGAAAAAGAAACTTTTTTTACAAGACTAATGGTCACTCAGTCTGGTGCTGAAGTCTTTAAATCACAGAACTCAACTTCAGCTCATTAAATCCATTTGATTACAGCCAGTTCCCAGACAGCTGTGACTGCTTCATCTTTAACCTGTCTCAGCCCATCAGAGCCCTTCAGTTCCCTAAGTGGCCTAACACGAATTCAGGATGTGGCCAGACACATCAGCAGCTTACAGGAAGTAACATTCCACTGCAATGAGTTACAACATGGTATGAATAGTTAAAGGAAGAAGGAGTAAAGAATGGGGAAGAAGAGCAGGTCATGGTGGCTCACACCTGTCATCCTAGCTACTCAGGAGGCTAGATCTGAGGATCGTGGTTCAAAGCCAGCCCAGGCAGGAAAATTCATAAGACTCTTATCTCCAGTTAACCACCCAAAATCCAGAAATGGAGCTGTTGCTCAAACGTTAGAGCACCAGCCTTGAGTGGAAAAAGCTTAGGGACAGTCCTCAGGTCCTGAGTTCAAGCCCCACTACTGGCACATACAAAAGAAAATGATGAATGGGTTGAAAAGAGGGAAGCATGCAAAAAAGGATGCGTTCACTCACTGAGCTCATACAGCCAGCAGCATGTGAGCGTGTATTACGTGCACTCGTGAATTTCCAGCAGAGTTGGGGTGCTCTGGGGTGCTGAACTGCACTCAAAGGGGCACTCAGGCCATTTCAAATTTTCAAGAGGAATAACCACCATATTCACCATTTGTCAAAAACAGTGTGATTTACTAGTTCCAGGTCGCTCGCACGCCGCGTTAGATCATCATACATTCCCTTTCATCACAACCTGTCTTGGGGAAGCTGGAATTTTAATAATTGATCTTTGAAAAAGCAAGTACCATGTGAAATTATCATGGAACAAGGAGAAAATGAGGGTTTACACTGTGAGATCTGATCCCAAGAGTTAATAAATTGTATAGTGGCCAATAAATTGTACAGAGTCTAATTATTAAATAACCATGCTTAATTTAACTAAAAATAATTTGTTTTCTCTTTCTCTTCTTTAAGTAAAAAAATGCATTGTGTTTACTTATGGTAAGTGATGTGGTATTATGGGGTACCTAGAGATAAAAGAAGGATTCAGTGCAGTGACACACATTAACACGTCCATCATCTTACATCCATAGCTCCTTGATTTGTTTCGTGGCAAGGGCAGCTTACATTGACTCCTTTAATCTGAATTTCAAATCGTTTTACACCTGTGGTCCTCCTCACACACCTTACTTCGACTATTTTTTCTAAGCATTGTTAAGTTGAGGGACATAGAATATATTCGGTTTTTTGGACCTACACCTGTGTGTGTGTGTGTGTGTGTGTGTGTGTGTGTGTGTGTGTGTGTGTGTGTGTGTGTGTGTGTGTGTGTGTGTGTGTGTGCGTGCGCAATTGTCCAGGCTTTACACTCTCCTTGGCTTTTTAGCTCAAGCCTGGTACTCTACCACTTGAGCTATACCTCCCATTCCTGCTTTTTGCTGGTTAACTGGAGGTAAGAGCCACAGATTTATCTGCCAAGCCTGGCCCCCAAACACAGTTCCCAGATCTCAGCCTCCTGAGATGATAGAAATCGCAGGCGTGAGCTTTTGGTACCCAGTGTTTTTTCCCCTCCATTTTAAAAATCAAAATGTTACTTGTTCTCTTGACTAAATGGAACATTGAAAAAAATCTCTGAGCCACGAAGAGCAACATGTACAGAGACATTGAGGGCTTCCTCAATCAACTCAAATCCACCCTGACAGCCTCAGATGGTTTTCACATTCCCTTCTACTTGGCCAAACACTAGGCATGTTTCCCGCTGTCTTTAAATCCCTGGTCTCCCTTTCCTTACAGCGCAGGCTTGAGGAAACCATCAGTTATGATTTATTTCTTTGCCCTTTTGAGACATAAATCTTCTTCCAACCTCTGGCAAATTTGTAACCCAGGAATGTCTTTCTGGGGAACCATCCCTTCAGAATGCAAATACCAAGCAAGATGGAACCCTTATTCCCAAGTTACCACAGGAGAATAGGAGCTTGTGTCTCATTAAGTACCAATTAGCAAAAAGATGGCGCCTAATCACAGAGACATTATTAGTTCGTTGTTGGGAAATCAATCCTCATTAAGTTGTTTGGACCTATACTACTTTTTTATATCCAAGTGTCAGGGATATCATTTGTGTGTGTATGCACGCGCGTGTGTATGTGTATATGTGTGTGTGTATATTTGTGTGGGTGTATGTGTGTGTGTGCGTGTGCGTGTGTGTGTGTGTGTGTGTGTGTGTGTGTGTGTGTGTGTGTGTGTGTGAGAGAGAGAGAGAGGGAGAGAGAGAGAGAGACCGGGGCACACTGGGACAAAATATGAATATTTAGCGTGGTGTGAAATCAAAGAGCTTTCATCAGATCACTGGGACTTGTAGAATTTAGAATGAATAATACATGGAGACCAGACTTTCAATGCTCTCATTCATTTTAAATTTAAAAATAAACAACCTATAAGCCCCACTAAGATTATATTCGTGGGACAGTTTTTGTCACCAACTTTATTAAGACTAGGGATAAGAAGGTCACGATTGCTGATAGGATTTTTGATTTGCTGATAGGATTTTTCCCAGTTACTATTATTCTGAAAACAATGCTATTGATTTTTCATGACTAAAACCAAATCAAAACATAAGCTAAGTGTGAGTGGCTCATGCCTGTAATCATATCTACTCAGGAGGCTGAGATTTGAGGATTTCCAGCCTGGACAGGAAAGTCTGTGAGATTCCTCTTATCTGCAATTAATCACCAAAAAGCCAGAAGTGGAGCTTTAGCTCAAGCGGTAGAGTGGCAATCTTGAGCACAAATGCTCAAGGACAGTACCCAGGCCCTAAGTTCAAATCCCAAGACTGGCACAATAAAAATAAATCAATAAATAAAAACATGTCCACTGTTCAGAGAGCAAATCATCTGAGAAATAAGAAAGGTCATGTATACTCTTGGTATTCAGAAATCAACACCATAAACTAAATGTACATGTATTTATAAGCGCAATCAAAAGTACTGCTACTTTACAATCTTCTTGCTAAGGATATACATATATCACATATATTTTTATAGGATAAGTAGTGAAATATATACATATATGTATACATATATCATTTGTAAATATATATGCAAATTTGTAGATATATTTATAAATGACATCTTTCAGACATACACACATGTGTAGCATTTTTGTAGCTGTAAAGAGATTCACTCAAAGATTATACCATGACTTGTTTAATTTTTAAGCATTTCAAATCAATGGCAATCAGAAAAAGAAGGTTTAACAGCATTAGAACAGTACCCATGCTAGTTAATAATCAGACCTGAAAAGGACAAAGCAGAACTCTTTAGCAGACCCCCATTTCCCCTGCCAACCTTATTCTAAAAGGGGCAGACATCATTTCTATTATATTATATAGGACACATTAATTTCTATTTGATTTGCTTCGTTGCTACACAACTGTGTCCACACTTTCTTTCCCACTGATCTCCAACACAAAGCAGGGAAACCCATCAGCCTGTTTTCTGGAGCGTCCAAGTTTTTCTCAACACTAGTTCCATCGTGAACATGAACCAGTGTATCCACGCGTCTCTCCAAACACTCAAACCCAAGGTGGCAGGCCTCATTCTGTGCCTGTGATGATTGAAACTTTAAAAGACAATGCTGAATTTGGGTAGGATTAACATTAAGGGAAAACCTATAGAAGACGTCCATATTTAGGGAAATGAAACAATGTTCGTTTCCTACAGACCCTAGGACAATGGCGAATCCCACAATTCAACTCTCACATCCTTCTTCAACATTTCTAATGAACAGGAACCAACCTCCCTCCCAACCCATTCTCCAAGTCACCTCCCCCAATCCATCCCACACTTCTAGTTCACAGCAGATAGCACAACAGTCTGATCTCCTTATCCGCTGCACAGGACAGAACGTGATCGGATTTATGGAGCTCGTGGGAAGAGGACAGGGAGAGCAGAGGCCTGTGGCTGAGCCTTCAGTCCGGGGGAGGATGAGCGTGGGTGGATGGTAAATGGAGACTCCACAGCCAAAGCTCTAGGACTGGGCAGCAGAGATGACTGGAAGGCCAGCCTGATGGAGGAATGGGGCGGGGACTGGGAGAGACAGAGGAGGAGCTGAGCTGTGAGGTCACAGGGTCGACATAGCACACACAGCAGCCCCGTTCTTGTCCTGGGGTCTCTGCAGCCTGGATGTCATCTGAGGCCAGACCCACACCACACCCTCTGTCCAGCTACTCTGAGAGTCCAAAATAGTCGATATCAAACAATGGACTTAATGGCGTCATTTATAAACAGTTTAGGCCCAAGCACTTGAATACACACTTATGGATTAACACCTATCCATCCTACCTTAATCCCACCCCATTTCTGCTCTAGATATAAAAAAAGGAGGGCATCTACAAGACTAAGTGTGCTTGAGTGACCCTGTGTAAGAAAGTCAGGAGTGTACGGAATGGGACAACCAGCTTATAGTGTGAGCTGTCAGGATGGTGAAGATAAGTGTGTGTGTGTGTGTGTGTGTGTGTGTGTGTGTGTATGTATGTGTGTGTAATTGTGTAAGTGAAGCTAGGATTACATGCACATGTGTGGAAGGTTTTTATAGTATGTAAATACAATGACCATATTTGTGCCTGTGTTAGAGAGCAAGTGTGCATAGCCATGTACATGTGAGTGTAAACATGTGTTTGTATGTTCACATGTATACATGATCTCCCTTAAAGTTACTTCTGTCATTGTACTGTATTGTTTTGTTTCATTCAGACTGCATTTTGAAGTTCCTGTTAGTAGATGGGCACTAGGGTTTGAACTCAGGGCCTGAGCTTGCTTGCTTGCTTGCTAGATTGGCATTCTACCACTTGAGCCATGCCTTTGACTCTGCTTTTGCTGGTTATTTTGAAGATGGAGTCTCATGGACTCTTCTGCCTGGGCTGGCCTTGAATTACGATCCTCCAGCTCTCAGCCTCTTTGAGTAGCTTCCTGTTGGAGGTGTAATGTCACTGCTTGCTTTGAACATAATTTATTAATTTATGAAATGATATGCTTATCCTGACTGGGAGAAGAATTAACCACCATGAACGCTGACTTGTTCCAGTGAGGCTTTGGGGTGGGGGCAAACATGTCAGGAATCTACTGGCTTGGGGGCAGGGCTGGGTCTGTGCCTAACAGGTCATATCAGTCAATCTAACCTCTCTCAATCTGTTTCTATATTTCCAAGAAACAAATACTACTAAGATCAGAACAACAATCTAAGGCATTTTGTATAATGCCTGGTCTAGGATATTTTAATTGCTAGCCTTTATTATAATTTATTACAATATTTTACTACTAGCCTTTATATTACAATTGCTAGTCTTTATTAGAAAGCATGGCCCCTAAGACTACATTGCTACAGTTACCCAAGCCTACCCACGTTTCAATTTCTTTTTCCTCTTTTAGCAGTGGAGTCATGAATTCATGGCCTTGGGTGTCTTAGGAAAGCATTCTACCACTTAAGCCAAGTCTCCAATTCTTGCCTTAGTTATTTTTCTGACCGGGTTTCACACATTTAGCCTGTCTTGAACCAAGATCCTACGGTATTTCAAGCATTACCAATTACAGATTGAGATTATAGATAGGAACTACCTGGCCCTCCCTGTTCTTTGAGATAGGATCTCAATAGCTTTATTGCCTAGACCAGCCTCCAACAGTGATTCTCCTATCTCTGCCTCCTACTTAGATGGGATTATAGGTATAAGCCACCAAGCTGCTTTGCTGTGTCCCATTCTAACGTCTCTACTGAGTTATGAGACATTGTCACCCCTTGATCAATTCACAAGCCCCCAGCATTTCTAGGTGAGAACTTCTCCCCACCCCCACCCCCCATTCCTACAGAGAAGATGCTTGTGAAGCGGTATATTAGAGGAGACACTAGTTAAGTTTGGCCTCTGAAAATATTTCTCAATTGTTCGGGCAGTAACAGCTAGCTTGATAACAGATTAGCATGTCTCTGATTTATAGATACCTGATAATCAACTTAATTACTCTTCGAAGTGCCCTAATCCACGGAGTTCAATGACCTGTTTTTGAGATATTTGTACCATTTCCAAATCATAGCTGTGTCAACATTATCTTTTGTGAATCAGTAGTATGTGAATCTATCTTTAGGATAGTCACCTATTCTGCATCTAAACTTTATTGCTTAAAATATGTTATATAAAGCAATAGCCATATTTTCATCATTTCTGTTGTTGTTATTGTTTGATAATTTTTTGTTTGTTTGAATTTTGGGGGCAGTGCTGGGGGATGAACTCAGTCTCATACCTGCTTAGCAGGCACTCTACCATCTGAGCCATGCCTCCAGTCATCTACTGTTTCTTTCTTATCTGTAATGTAATGTAATGGCAGAGAGAGAAGAAATGTTCACTCTGTCCATAGATTTTAATCTGCTAACAAGACTCTGAATAGGTTAGAAACAATAGCAAAGCGAGATGGTCTTTACCTATCTGAGATTCCACAGGAGTCTATCTGGAGGTCACTGAAGTTCCCGAGGGATCCCTGCTGGACAGCAATCAGATCGACCTCTCTGTCATTGATGGAGATGAGCCGCATGCACCCCTGAAACCCAGCAAGTGGGCTGCGGCATCTGGATCCAAAGCTTTTGTCCGGACAACCTGATTTTAAAAAGCAAGATGGAGATGCACCGTAATGAACCTGAGTAGAGTAGAGCATCATGGGAGAATTCATTAATGAAAACAAATGGAAAAAAACAGATATTTGATTACTTGCTGCCTTCCAGGAGACAAATACACCCAGGTGCTGCAGTCCCTATGAGTTTCATCCAAACTCCAAATTACATTTCCTACAAAGTACTGCTTTCTATATTTCTGTAGGGCTTACAGGAAGTCATCAGAGTTATAATAATCATGAGCCACTCTACTAGACTGACCCAGACTTAGAAATATGCATATGAGGTCCAGAATTCTAGACATGCCAGCCAGTAGTATAAAACTTTATAGAACTGAAATATGGAAAGCTTAGTCTTTTGGCTAGGAAAACTAAAGACAAAAGGGTGGAAATGTGCATTAAAAATAAGAAGAGCCAGGCACAGGTAGCTCACATCAGCAATCCTTAGCTAATCTGGAGGCAGAGATGGGAAGACCACGGTTCAAAACCACCCTTGGTCCAAAAATCCAATTAACCTGCAGAGAGCAGGAAATGGAGGTGTAATTCAAGTGGTAGAATGGGAAAAGCCTTTAAAGGAAAGCATGAGGCTCCAAAGCCTGAGTTCATGCAGAGAGAGAGAGAGAGAGAGAGAGAGAGAGAGAGAGAGGAAGAGAGAGAACGAGAGAGGCAGAGACAGAGATAGATACATCAATAATGATGAAATCCCTTTGTATTTACAGCTAGTTATATGAAACAGAAGAAATAACCAACTACTGATTTAATCAAGCCCTGATTTTCTCCTACATAGAAAAGTTACATAGACATACATTCATACAAATGGTTAAGTTTCAAAAATATTTCATTCCTTGATTTTCCTTAGTCTCTCTTCATAAAAGAATGCTCCTCTTACAGATTTTTCTATAATTAAAGCTTGTTCTAATTATTTAAATAATGAAGAAATAGAATATTAACCATTATTGTCTGCATTTAATGATGTTCTAAATGTTTATCCAAGTGAAATAAATAATTTTATGGAGTCTGAACACATCTATTACTCTTACATATTTTTCATTAATCTTTCTTTGCTGGTTATGGTTGTCAAACACTATTACAATTTCACAGAATAATAAACGAATCAGCAACCTCTGAATTCTTGTATGCTAGGTTTCCTACCTGGGAATTATCATTACAGTTAAATATTTTGACTAAGAATATTTTGTCCTTTTATTCTTTGTTCTTTATTTCCCAACAAAATCCATTTACAAGTGAAAGCCAGTACTATTCAAAATTACTAACAAGCGCATTAAAATACTGTTCAGTATATTAAGGACAGGCAATCATTGCATGTTGAATATTGATGCATTGTACATAATATTCCATATATTTCCAGTACTTAAGATTCTTCTGACTTATAGATGCTGAATGTCATAATCTTAATGCATTTTCCAGATGACTTATTAACCGGTTAAGAATATCAGGATATGGGGTTGGAGGCATGGCTCAGGTGGTAGAGCTCCAGCCACTGAGCAAAAAGCATCAGATACTGAGTTTTAGTCCTGGTATCAGAGCCTCCCCAAAAAAGAATATCAGGATTAAAGTGAAAGGATAAATGTTTGATAATATTTGGCACCAACTATTGATTGATTGGCTGATCTGCACCAGTACTGGGGCTTGAACTCAGTTTCTCATGCTCTCAGTTTTTTTGTTTATGTTGTGTTGTGTTTTGTTTGTTTTTCTCACAGAGGTGCTCTGCCACTTGAGCTACAGCTCCATTTCCAGTTTTTTTTCTTTTGCTAGTTAATTGGATATAAATCTTTGTGACTTGTTTGTTTTTGAACTGCGATTCTCACATCTCAGCCTCCTAGGAGCTAGGATTACAGGCGTGAGCCACCTGGCTAGACGTAATCATTAGATACCAGAAATACAAACAAACTCTGCTAATCTCCTTTTCACCAGGCAATGTTACCTAACGCATCTCAAACTATTTCCAAATGAGACAATACGCCAATGGGAAACAAAATTAGGCAAACTCAGTCACAAAGCAAATCCTTCCACTGTCCAAACCAACCACAGTGAGATCATAATACATATCATACTCCTAGCTGGGATGTTCAACAAAGAAGAAATGCTAGAAATAGAGCGAGGGTTCAACCTGGTGAGTCTCATTAGTCATTAAAGAGGCAGACAGAAGTTAATAGCACGCAATAGCAGAGGGAAGTTCAGTACTCAACCCCTTAGAGAAGTAAGTTTGAAAATAGGAAGGTTCTGGAGAATATTTAATGCAGAATTAATGGAGGGGTCCATTACCAGAGGCAGGCAGCATGTTAAACACCTCTGAGGATGACAGATACATTATCTCCGTGTGTACCCGACAGGAGGTGTGGAGGCAGACAGCATGGAGACAAAGCTCATCGCTGATTGGGTAATGCTTACTTTACCCAAGAGAGGAGGGGTGGGAAATTCTACACACACCTCGCAGCATGTGTTTTCCCAGTGTGTCATTGCACACTCTGTGTATGCATAGCTCAAAGACTCCATGGGGGAATGGACAGAAATGATACACTCAGCCACGCTCTGTCTGGAGAACTCTGATTTCATAGGTGTAAGTCACCAATGATAAAGGCTGAGCACAATGTGCCACGTGGCTGTCAGTGGGAGGTGTTGGATGACTCAGGAAGAATTCGTGTGGCCTGCAGTTCTGATGGCACATGAGTGGCCCCCAGGTGCCAAAGCACTGCCACTGGAAAGACTCTAAGAGAGGAGGCAGACCTAGGCTGTTGGAGGAGATCAGCCCTCTCCAGGGAAGCAAGCAGCAGGTTAGCAGCGCTGTATTCTACTCAGATCATTGAAAATTTGCAGCTGAATTCAGACCGAAGCAAAGGAGAAGTGACAGGAAATGTCTCTGACTGAACCTGGGATTCGTTTTTACTTGGAGATAAATTGGCTAAAGAATTAAATGTCTGAAACCTGCGTTCTGCCTAAGCAATCTAGATCCTGACAATAAAAGGCACTGTTGTCCACACAAAACAAATGATCTGTGTGTGTGTGTGTGTGTGTGTGTGTGTGTGTGTGTGTGTGTGTGTGTGTGTGTGTGTGTGTGTGTGTGTGTGTGTGTGTGTTGGTACTGAGGCTTGAACTCAAGGCCTGGGACACCATCTCTTAGAAATTTTTGCTCAAGTCTGGTGCTCTACCACTTGATCACAACTCTACTTCTGGCTTTTTGCTGGTTAACTGAAGATAAGAGGCTCTTGGACTTTCCTGCTTGGGCGGGCTTCAAACCATGATCCTCAGCTCTCAGCTTCCTGAGTAGCTAAGATTAGAGGTGTGAACCACCAGTGCCTGTGAATAAATGGTTTTCTATGGTATCCAGGTGCTATAATTTGCCCACAACCTGGAGGAAGGACACAAGACTTTCAGCTGACAGCTGCAGCCAACCAATCAGAGCCTCTATGTCAGTTTAAGGGACGCAATGCTGTTCCTTCGCTCAACATGCCTCTGCTCAAGGTCCCAGGAGGCCTTCCAGGGAAAGGTGATGTGTCCATCTGTAACCTTCTGTCTTGAATATTCCAGGATTTCTAGCCTCAATGTCTTAATGAGTGGGTTTCCAGGAAGACAAGTGCAGAGCTGGTCCCAGCCCTAGAAACAGTGGGACAGTCTAGATCTTGCAGAACATGTGTTAAATAGCCTTTGAAGCTGGAGTTTTCTTGTGGAACTCTTTGAGGTGCATATAAATAGCTACCAAATTATAAAGAACAGGAAATGAAAAAGAAACTCCAGATTCAAGCGAGATCAAAGAATATGTCTTTGGAGGGACACACATGCACAATAATCTATTCTTTCTTAAGCAGGGGCAGGCAGGTCTGGGTGAATGCTTAAAATGATTATTAATGTTCATTCCTTCAAATGTTCATACAGCGTAAGAGAGTGGACACTAGCTATGGGATATACAGAAATTCTCTGTGTGGCACTGCAATGTTTTCAGCAAATCTTAATCTATCCAAAATACTTTCAGAACAATATAGTGTATAACATATGTATCATAATAAAAACATGAGTCATATGTGATATATTTTACTATAAAAGATTACAGTACAAGTAAAAGCGATCACCAGAAAAAAATAATTCTTCCTAAAATAGCTAAGTACTGCTACAATCCAAACATGAAAGATTGAAAAAGACTTCAAGAATGAGAATTCCATTTTCATGATTTATAAACACTTTTCTCCAGTCTTCTATTTTTTTTTTAAATTTTGCATCATTTAACACTATGCCTGTAATTTTTTCCTTAGCTCTTTTAGTGCTTCTAAATCTTTTCTTGTGAAATGAAATCTCTTGGTTAAGTTGCTCAATGTATCATAGTATTGATTAAAAGAATGTGTTCCGTGGCTAGCTATAAAATCTATCATAAATTCTGAAAGAACTTGATTCAGAAATGAACAAACTTTAGTCAAAGAAGACGCTATCTCTTTTAATACTGTAGCCCTTTGCATGGTAATGGATTATGAATGTATTTCACTATGGTTCATTTGTTTGCTTTTAAGTTCTGGTGAAGATTCATGGACAAGGTACTTAGGATCAATTCTTGGGAAATAATTTGTATTTTATTGGCAGATACTAAAGACTGAATTCCTTGTTTCAAATGTAGAAGTGATATTAGAATGAAACAACCATTAAAAGGCAATGAAACAAAACCCAAACAACGATCACACAAGAAATACCCAAGTGTGAATAGAAACATCTAAGGACTAACAGTTTCAAACTTCATTCCAATTGTCAAAGAACTTTCTGTCTTAATTTTCCAGTGGTAAAGATGTGTTTCCATCTCTCTAGCTTCCTTTCCCAAACATGCACAGGGCAGGTAAATGCTTCCTTTGTTCTTTTCTCCGAGGAAGATGGCCGGATGTTGAAAGCCTATGTACATTTCATCAAAAATGTATCCATGTGTTACTGCTTAGCAGACAAGAGGTTGCTATGGCTAATTAAGTTAAATTATTTGTTCATTGGCATAATATTTGCCCATCTGCACTGGATGGTGGGTAAAGCAGTAAGAAGGCTCTAGAGGAGCTACGAGGCATGAACAAGGAAATAAGACAATAAAATCAACCCATAAAATCAGGAGATCATCTACAAGAGTCATTGACCATTAGGAAGACAGAACAAGATTTGAAGGTAAGAACTGGAGAAAGTGAGCCCACTTAACACTATCGAAATTGTACATTTAAATAAGCCGGCCTCGGAGGAATGCATTTGCGTTTATGCTTTGTCATCTTGAGCCACGCAACATTCCCACATGGAAAAGTGGTTCCTCTGGGGTTAGTATTGGTTCAAGCAGGGGATTTTCTTAAGCCATAGGAGTGGGAACTGCAAATACAGCCCAGTCACCCATACGGACTGACCCTACTTTTTTTCTTACCTCCAAAATAATAGGTGCCCGCTGAGTATATCTGCTCAGGCCCCAGTGAAGGAGAAGCCGGGGTCACAAGGCTGTCTACCACCACACTCAGGTGATTCCTTTTAGCTGACACTGAGACAGAATGCCACTGCCCATCATTCAATCCGGCGCCTGAAGAAGAAGAAGAAAGAGTTAGAGACAGCTCTCAACAGTCAACCCTGACATAGTGGAAGAAGAGCCATCTGTACATCACCCAAATTAGCTTTAGCATTGTCATCTCCAATACTCATATGTTGGGGATATGTTTCAAAACACCAGCAGAGGCCTGTTACCCTATGTATACTATGGGCTTTTTTCCTCTATACACACACATCCATGATAGTTTAGCCTAATTATTCAGTAGGCTGAGATCTAGAGGACCCCGATTTGAAACCAGCCAAAGCAGGAAAGTCTGTGAGACTCTAATTAACCACCAGAAAGCTGGAAGTGGAGCTGTGGCTCCATAGTAGAGTGCTAGCCTTGAATGACAAAGCTAAGGGACAGCACCCAGGCTTTGAGTTCTAGCACATACAAAGAAGTTTAATTTATAAATTAGAATGGTAAGATATTAACTATAGTTAAGAATAAAATAGAGTAATTTTAACAATTTACCATAATAAAATGACTTAAAACATTATTTCTAGACTTTTACATTAATCTTTTTTGGTGGGGGAAGGGAGAGTCAGTCTTGGGGCTCGAACTCAGGCCCTGAGCACTGTCCCTGAGCTTTTTTGCTCAACGCTAGTGCTCTACCATTTGAGCCACAACTCCACTTCTGGCTTTTTTGATGGTTTATTTAGAGACAAGTCTCACAGACTTTCCTGCCTGGGCTAACCTCAGAACTCAGCTTCATGGGTGCCTAAGACTACAGACATGAGCCACCGGCACCCAGACCCATACAGTATTTCCAGAACACAGGTGAACACAAGTACCTGAGACCTTGGAAAGTGGGACCCAGATTAGGGGTTCAAAGTGTTATTAATTCTACTAAAACCAATTTCTAGTCCCTCCTGACCTTCCTCCCGCTAAATGGATGCATTTCATTGTGACACCTTGCAGAAGGGGCGGTTCCTGCTATGCCAGCGCCAGGAGTCCATGAGATTACGTGAGATTTCACCCTCAAAGGCAATCCTGCTGTCAAGAGGCTCTGGGGCTGAATGCTGGAGCATCTCCATGGTGAATCTGCCAGTCAGGGGCTCATCTGCTGAATATTTAACTCTATGATTATGCTGATCAAATCAGTAAACAAAGTATAAGCACTCTATTAAACACCAAGAGCCTCTTTTCTGATATTATATGTGATTTCTTGTATTCCCTTGAGCTAGTTTCTACCACGTGTGTTCACATTGAAAAATGCATCAAAGCACTGTTGGGTAATCACATTTACTTTAGCACTAGAAATGATCACAAATATTAGCCAGATCATGGAAGCCCATTTTTATATCACCTCCATTAAAAAAAAGAAGAAGTAGACGAAAGGAGGAGAAGGAAGGAGAAGAGGAGGATGAGGAGGTAAAGGAGGAGAACAAAAAGGAGGAGGAGGAGGAGGAGGAAGAGGAGAAGGAGAAGGAGGAGGAGGAGGAGGAGGAGGAGGAAACAGAGAAGAGGGAGATGGGAGAAGATGGGAGAAGAAGAAGAGGAGAAGGAGGAGGAGGAGGAGGAGGAGGAGGAGGAGGAGGAGGAGGAGGAGAAGAAGAAGAGGAGGAGGAGGAGGAGGAGGAGGAGAAGAAGAAGAGGAGGAGAAGGAGGAGGAGGAGGAGGAGGAGGAGGAGGAGGAGGAGGAGAAGAAGAGGAGGAGGAGGAGGAGGAGGAAGGAGGAGGAGGAGGAAGGAGGAGGAAGGAGGAGGAGGAGGCGGAGGAGGAAGGAGGAGGAGGAGGAAGGAGAAGGAGGAGGAAGGAGGAGGAGGAGGAAGGAGGAGGAGGAGGCAGAGGAGGAGGAGGAGGAAGGAGGAGGAAGGAGGAGGAAGGAGGAGGAGGAGGCGGAGGAGGAGGAGGAGGAAGGAGGAGGAAGGAGGAGGAGGAGGCGGAGGAGGAGGAGGAGGAAGGAGGAGGAAGGAGGAGGAGGAGGAGGTGGAGGAGGAGGAAGAGGCAGAGTAGAGGAAGAGTATGAAAAGACAAGAAGGAGAGAAATGAGATCCAATCTCAGTTTGGCTTGTGAAAGAGAGTGGAAAGGACTTGAAAACTGATTTGCGAAATGCAGACCAGATTCGTTCAGACATTTTTCTAGGGTAAGTTCCAAAGAGATGTCTGAATAAAATGATATAACCTTGATAGAATAAGATCAGACTAAAATAAATCAAATGCCCCCAAATTTCCACCAGTTTCCTTCAGGAGGCCACACATGTGTGTATTGTGTTCGTCTTCCCACCACCGTCCTAAATTCTCTTCTCTCAGCCTCGTGACTCTTCTGTTTTTGTTTATCTTGGACTTTTCCTTAGTGTTTTGTGGTTGCTTTTTTGTCAGTCACAGGGCTTGAACTCTGGGCCTAGGCGCTGTCCCTCAGCTCTTCAGCTCAAGGCAAGTGCTCTACCACTGGAGCCACAGCACCACTTCTGGTTTTCTGGTGGTTTATTGGAGATAAGAGTTTCACAAGCTAGGAGCTGGGAAGGTGGCTCAGTGGTAGAGTGCTTGTCTTGCATGCTTCAGGCCCTGGGTTCGATTCCTCAGCACCACATAAGCAGAAAAAGCCGGAAGTGGTGCTGTGCTCAAGTGGTAGAGTGCTAGCCTTGAGCTGAAGAGCTGAGGGACAGTGCCCAGGCCCAGAGTTCAAGCCCCACAACCAACAAAAAAAAAAAAGTTTCACAAGCTGGGTGCCGATGGCTCACGCCTGTAATCCTAGCTGGGTGCCGATGGCTCACGCCTGTAATCCTAGCCACTCAGGAGGCTGAGATCTGAGGATTGCTGTTCAAAGCTAGCCTGAGCAGGAAGTCTATGAGATTCTTATCTCCATTAAATCACCAGAAAACCAGAAGTGGCACTGTGGCTCAAGCAGTAGAGCATTCGCCTTGAGCTGAAGAGCTGACGGACAGTGCCCAAGCCCAGAGTTCAGGCCCCACGACTAACCAAAAAAAAAAGAGTTTCACGGACTTTCCTGCCAGGGCTGGCTTTGAACCTCAATCCTCAGATCTCAGCTTCCTTAGTTTCTAGGATTACAGGTGAGAGCCATGGGCACCTGGCTTCAATGTTACTTCTATTCACCACTAACACGATTGAAAGCATCTCTGTGTATATATGTGTACTGGGACTTGAACTCAGGACCCAGGTGCTATCCCTGAGCTTTTGTCCTCAAGGCTGGTACTCTACTGCTTGATTTACAGCTCTACATCTGGCTTTTTGCTAGTTAATTGAAGAAAAGAGTCTCACAGACTTTCCTGCCCCATTGATCTTTGACTTAGATCCTCAGTTCTCAGCCTCCTGAGTAGCTTAAACTATAGGCGTGAGCCACTGGTGCCTGCTTGACATTTTTCGTTTGGTGCCTGGGGTCCAACCCAGGGCCTGGACCTTCCAGACAAGCACTCAACCACTGAGCTGCATCCCCAAATCCAAAAGTATGTTGTTGATAGAAGATGAAAATAATAATTGCATGGAGCTATTATTCATACAAGGTATCGCATGCTTTCTTTGTATTATATCACTTAATCTTTAGTACAACTATTATTTTCCTCATTTTAAATGTGAAAAAAATGGATCTCAGGGAGGGTGCACAGTTCCCTAAGGCGTATCTAGTCAGTGAATTGCAGAAATTACACAGAACCCGAGTCTGACACCAACACTTGCAACTGCCTGCTAAGCAGGTGGTTCTTTACTTTTATTTCATCTTTAACTTTGAAATGTAAAATAAAAGCAGCTCCCATTCCTGGAACACAGGCTCGTGGATGTCAGGGGTTCCTTGTGTTGTAAGTAGGTAAGAGCTCAGAGGATGGGGCTTGGTGTTATCTGCTTGGAGCAACCTCTCCAGGTCCCAACACTCAAGGTCACCTTGGGGCTGTGATGGACTGTGTGAGAGGAAATCAAGACGACACTCGGAGCTTATGCAAGCACAGACAAAAAGCAAGGCCACTGCATGAATCACAAAATTACCAAACCAGGTGCTCATGGCTCACTCCTGCAATCCTAGTTGATCATCAAGAGGCTGAGATCCGAGGATCACAGTTTGAAGCCAGCCCCGACAGAAAAAAAAAAAATCTGGGAGTGGGAGACGCATTTCCAATTAACCACCAAAAAATAAAGCCACAATTGGAGCTGTGTCTCGAGTGACAGGGACCCAGCCCTGAGTAGAAAAGCTAAGGGAGTTCAAGCCCCAGTATCAGAGTGTGCAGACACACACACACACACACACACACACACACACACACACACACACACACACACACACACACACACACACACACACACACACACACACACACACACACACACACACACACACACACACACACCAAGCCTCTCCCTTTTCTGAATAATATAAATTGCCACTAAATTTCTTTTCTACTTACAACTTTAGCCTCCTCCCATTCCTTCATCCTTCCAGATAACTTAGAAAGATATCTAATGGTAGTATTACATCACTCACCACCTGAGGATATTTATCTGATTGCAAGTGTTTCTTCCTTGAAATGTGCCCCCAAACCAGTAATCACCTCTAAAAAGCATTCCTTTGCATTGGTTGGGACAGGCCCGGGGGTTCATCTTGTCCTAGCAGACAATAAACCAAAGGAGTTCACACTCCAGATTGGTTCACTGTGGTCTTTGGCTGGAGAACAATGGCAGCTACAAATGGAAAAAAGGGGGGGTAATAAACAGAAGTGTTTGTGATCTCAGGCAGTGGAAAGGGCAGAATTGTGTTCTAGAGCCTTCCATCGCTGCCTGCTTCTGGTCTCTGGCTCAAGCCCTATAAACACACACAAAAATACAGCAGGAGGAAGAAAAAAGGTTTCTATCTCCTCTCTCGTACATAATCTCCGGTACAGTCCTAAATTGCTACAGAGCATTGCGCCAGCTTAGCTGCGGCCACTCGCCCATAACACTGCAGCAAGCGTCCAGAGGGGAAGATGAATAAAGAAAAAATAAACCTGCCACCTAGGGCAGGTTTTCCCAAAAGGTGCAGAAGGCAATTAAATGTGGGCCATTACTCAAATGGCAACCAAAGAGGCTCATGCCCGTTTTAGGGGCCTAAAAGCACCAGAAATCCCCACATCTGCTAACGACAGTCGCTAACTGGAATTAAGGGTCTCCATCACCAGATAGCCCTTGTCAAGGTGAAATACAGAGTCAATGGAGCCCATTGCTTTTGTGGAGAGCTGGGGTTTCAGGGGTGACAGGTTTACAGTCCGTAAGGCAGGAAGAGTCCAGTGCAGGCAGGGAAGAGAATTGAAAGATGGCTTCATGGGGGGGGGGGGGGGGGAGGAACCAGACCAAAAAGTCTAGTGGGATTGCCAGGGGCGGGAGAATTTCCAGTGTCCAGGAAGTGAAATCGTGGAGAAGCAGCTCAGTCACCACCAGGGCGCTCCTGCCAGGCTGTGGCATGGGAGTGAAAGGCTTGCTCAGAGACCTGAAGCTCATCCCCAGGTAAAAGCTGCAGTAGAAGCCAGGCCACAGGTGATCCGCTCCAGTAATCCTAGCTACTCAGGAGGCTGGGCTCTGAGGATCACGGTCCAAAATCAATCTGTTTAGGAAAGTTCTCGAGACTCTTATCTCCAATAAACTACCAAAAAGCCAGAAAGAAAAAGAAAAGAAAAAGTAAGGAAAAGAAAAAGAGAAAAGCTAAGGGATAATGCTCAGGCCCTGAGTTCAAGTTCAAGTACTGGTGCGGGTGTGTGGGCACACACACACACACACACACACACACACACACACACACACACAAAGTTGTAATCATCGAAATGCTAAAGTCAGAACAGAAACCTCTAATATGACTGAAGAATTCAGGCTTTAGAAAGAAAATATAATCGTATTGTTCATTAGTTCCTTCATTCCATCCGAATGGTTTCTGCTTTGACATCTATAAAGGTGAAAAGGATTGAAAATAATTTGTGTCATGAGGGATTTTAGAGGACTGTTAATATGTTTCATGATTTAGGCTTATACAATATCATTAATATTTCAGAGATAATTTGGTTTGACACGATATTTTTGAATAATTGCAAATGACAATTTGTAAAAATGTACATCACATTAAAAATTTAGGCGAATAATTCAAACATTTGCATAATTCAGTTCCTTCTCAATACCATTTAATTTCTTTTCAATTGTCAAAGTTCCAGAAATGTTGTCTTTCAGATTTTTAATGTTTTAGTAAATTGTATTTCCAATTGGTATGAAAACTTAAGCTGTCCTTACATAGAGGAAAGATTTAGTATAGTATGATACCAATCAATCAGTAGGTATATGGCATTTTATCCAAATGATTGCAAGTCAGGACACAATAAAGACACCTGCCTATCCATGCTCATTGCAACACTAGTCACTATCGCCAAGCCAAACCATGAAAATAGCCCAGATGTTTTATGACTGATCAATGGATCAAAAGAATGTGTTATATATTTATACAAGGGAATTTTATTTATCCACCAGAGAGAGTAATACTATGTCATTCACTATGAACAGGAAATAACAACATTGGGTGAAATAAGCCAACCTCAAAGAGACAAAAGATATGAGTTTTCTCTTACACGTGGAAGTTAGAACTTAAATAGAAACATATTTGAGAATACATTCAGAACCAGAAGCATATATATCCATATCTATATCTATATCCCATAGAGAGAGAAAAACACACAGAGATATATCTATATACAGATCTGTGTATAGTACATTGTGTACAGTACACATATCTGTGTATAGTAAATAATATATATGTATAGGTATATTTATCTATATATATACATATATATACATATAGGTGTGTGTGTGTGTGTATATACATATAGTATATATCTGATGTGTAGTACCCATAGGGGTAGGCTTCCATGGTATAGCCTCTCTGAATGATCAACATACAGTCCCACATGAATACCAGGAAGCTCAAATACATCTTGCTTAAAAGCAATAGGGCTTAGGGAGGAAGAGTGAACAAATGGAGAAAGGAAAGGTAGGCAAATAGAGCCATTAATACTCAATGTATACATCTGAAAACAAAGTGATGGGTAGGGCTGGATAGACGGGGATGGGGGGATAAAGGCAGGGTGACCCTGACCTCAACGCACTGTGCACATGAATGGACATGTTAAATTGTAACACCTTGGGCAACTCATGGGAGAGAACAATTCAAAAGTCATTTTAATAGAACAGCTGGTTTAATGATTAAATGTAAGTGAAATTCAAATGGAAGAAATCTATCACTTAAGTAGGTTTGTTTTTTTTTTTGCAAAGACAAAATGGACTTGCTTCACTGAAATTAGCACAAAAATATATTTTTGGAAAGAAAACAGTGAACATGAGGGCAGGGAGAGTCTGTAAGTAAAAGCTGGCTTCTGTTGTCTGAAGTATAACAAGATGGCTACCTTAGCACTACTATTTGGTCTAGGTTCTTTATTATTACCTCTGGAAATAATTACAGCCACACACTATCAGAATGGATTGTTCTGCATATAGTTTTAAACAGCCACTCAGAGATTTCCAAATCACTCAGAGCACTGTATGCAGAGTTACACCTAGTAATTTATGAGCTCTATGTTCTGGGGACATGGTTAAAAATAACCTTGCTGCTGGTGCCAGGCACTGGTGGCTTATGCCTATCATCTTAGGTACTCAGGAGGCTGAGATCTGAGGACTGTGGTTTGAAGTCAGCCCAGGCAGGAAAGTCTATGAGACCCTTATCTCCAACAAGCCACCAAAAAGTCAGACGTGGAGCTGTGATTCAAAGTGGTTTAGTGCAAGTTTGGGGCAAAAAAACGCTCAGGGACAGTACCCAGGCCCTGAGTTCAAGCCCCAGAATTGGTACAAAATGAAACAAAATAAAATAAAAACTAGGGCTGAGAAGGTGGCTCAGTGGTAGAGCGCTTGCCTTGCATGCATGAGGCCCTGGGTTCAATTCCTCAGCACCACATAAGCAGAAAGAAAATAAAAGCCGGAAGTGGCACTGTGGCTCAAGTGGTAGAGTGCTAGCCTTGAGCTGAAGAGCTGAGGGACAGCGCCCAGGCCCAGAGTTCAGGCTCCACGACCGGACCCCCCCCAAACAAAAAACAAAAAAAATCCCAAATACTAATAAAATAAAAACTAGCTTCATGGGGTAGACTACAGTAGCTTTTTACTGAAGCAGTTTCTTTAAGATGTTGAAAATTAGCCTACAACTACTTCGGAGGAGGTCAAACACACCACAATATACTACATGTTAACGGCATGCTTATCATCTTAAATCCTCTTTTTAGGAACTTATTAATGATTAAAGTGACACTAATTAATTTATTTCCTTTTGTTAAGCCTGCAAATCTACCACGTGTGGATGATTACCTAAGGTAGACCTTTCTAAAGTTATCATTAATACTGAACTCTCACACTAAATCTGCAATAATATGTGAACAACAACAGACAGATACATAAATAATAGGCATTTGAGTTGGGCACTGGTGGCCCACACCTGTCACCCTACCTAGTCAGGAAGATGAGATCTAAGAACTGTAGTTCGAGGCCAGCCTGGGCAGGAAAGTCAGTCAGATTTTTATCAGAGCCAATTAACTACCAAAAAAAGTTAGAAGTGGAGCTGTGGCTCAAGTTATAAAGCACTAACCTTGAGCACAAAAGCTCTGAATAGTAATTGGCACCAAAAATTTTTTTTAAAAAAATAGGCATTTGAATATCCATTTGTATACTTGTTTTTCTTACCCATTTTCACTATCTGTTAACATTATTTTCCCTTATCTGGGTCATATTCTATAAATTTTGATCGTAGTTAATGTAGAGGAGTAATACAATGTCATTTTTAAATTGTTTTTAAAGATCATTTATCAAATTAATGTAGCAATTTACCCCAATGTGACTCATACTGGATGAGCTTGAATGCTATTCTATATTGCCTAAAACTGTGATAGAGCTCCCTTGCCTAGAACTCTGAAAATTTAATGAAGAGATAGAAATATCCTTCACTCAAAGTTCCGACCTAGATTGGACATTAATTTTGCAGACAGCCATACAGTTGCCTTAATTATATTACTTCTAATGGCTCCAAAGATACTGCTTTGCCCTAAAAGTAAGTAAAGAGACTGAGAATCCACCAGAATCTATCTTCTTCCCAAACCTACTTCTGGAGGAATTTGAGGTACTGACTAGCCTGGAGTGGAGAGAGAGGATGATGGGTAAAAATTGATGCTTTCCATCTATACCATTTGGGGTAATAAGAACTGTGAAGGTTGGCGTCCTATTTAAAAGGAAATTGGAATCAACTTCCTCTAAGGAAGAATACTGATAATCTTATTAACTTCGGTCTACATTGATTAAACAAATATTAATATTTTTGAGGGAGGGTTATGCATATCACATTTACGGAGAGTGACACAGGAGATAATGAAATCTTTGGAATCCATATGTTTTGCCTAGGGGAGTACATTTATTACCTGCTGTGATGTCACTGGGTAATTTTCCTGGCTGGTGGAGATTCAACTTAAGTTTTCCATCACTGAGCAAGAGGAGGAGACTCCCAGAAACCACTTGAAGTTCACTGAACAGCAAAAGTCCTTCTGCATTCCAGGTGCGAAATTGAAAACTGGCGGAAACCCCTTCCTCTCTGGAAGAGGCTGGCAAGGTTAAGAAACTCCTGGAGCTCAGAAAAGTCACAGGCACAGACTGTGGTTGTGAACAAATGAATGACACATTTCCCTGAGGACAAAAGACAAGAAAGAAGAAAGGGGAGGGGGGGGGGGGGAGGGAGAGAAACTATCAGCCTGCTATTCATATTCCACTTGGAATTGAATTTAAAATATTGACTTTCTCCCAGATTTAAAACCACAAATATCACCATGAAGGTCTACTTCCATAAAGCTTCCATTTTTCAACTTTCTATTATTATTATCATCATCATCATCATCATCATCATCATCATCCTCATCCTCATTCTCATTTGCTAGAATTGGTATTTGAACTCTGGGCCTTGCATTTGTTTGGCTTGCTCTCTGCTGGCACTCCAGCAGTTGAGTCACACCTCCAGCCTAGCTTTGGGCTGGTTATTCTGCAAATGGATTTTTCTGCCCAGGCTGCCTTCAAACCACCATCCTCCGAGATTCATAGCTTCCTGCGTGGCTAGGATTACAGGAGTGAACCAGGAGCACACATGGCTCTCAACTCCCCAGCAAATGCAAGGCTCGTTTAGAAGAAGCAACACTGGAAGCAACACATTGGATCTTGATCAAACTAAGATATTTGGCTATATTATGATTCTGTTAAGTGAATTAACTTTGATTGTAAACAATTCCGCTGTTCTAATGGTTGAAATAACAAAGTCCTAAGAGGAGACAAGGCTCACTTTTACAATAACCCATACCATAAAGACAATGGTGAGGTCATCAAACCCAGGAAAAGCTCGGACTGGTCTTAGCCTCATTTGGAAGGCTGCCTCCTCCCTTCCTAAAGCGGAGGGGTGGGCTTCTCTTGAGAAGTTTCTGGACACTCAGATGTTAGATGAATTTCACGTCTATCTATTTATAATCCTGTTCCTTTTCCTTTCAATTTTTCCCTTTAATAAAAAAAAAAACACCTACTTTAAAAATCTTTCTGGCTGTGATGAGCATATAAACAATGCCAACTCACAGAGAATTCAGAATAAAATACTTTTTTTCAATAATAAATATTCTTGTGATGTACTTTGGGATTTGCTGACACAACAGGAGCTTAAAGATGCATATTCTGAATTTTAAGCAACCAAAGAAATTAATTAAAATCAATGTATGGCTCTGCATTTTTTGTTATTATAGGGAACTGCTGGGGAGTATGTTTCCCAGAATTGCCATCCATCCTTGTCTGCTTCTGAATATAGGTTAGCTGGAAGGAGAGCCACTGTGCCATACACCATAGATAGATAGATAGATAGATAGATAGATAGATAGATAGATAGATAGATAGATAGATAGACACATGCATGCATACATACATACATAATACATACATGGATATAGACATGTACATACATACATATATGGATAGATATAGATACGTGCATACATATATGATAGATAAATGCACACATACATACTTATATGGATGGATAGATAGATAGATACATACATACATATATATATGGATGGATGGATAGACAGGTATGTAGAGAGAGAGAGAGAGAGATACATACATACATACATATATGGATATATGGATAGAGAGCTAGCTAGATAGACAGATAGATGCATACATACATACACATATGGATGGATACATACATACATAAATATATGGATGGATGGATGGATGGATAGATATGTACATACATACATATATGGATGGATAGACAGACAGACAGACAGATAGATAGATAGATAGACAGACAGACAGATAGATAGATACGTACATACATACATATAGACATACATACATATGTACATACATACATATGTACATGGATAGATAGATACAGATATACATGGGTGGATGGATGGATGGATGGATGGATGGATGGAGAGAGAAAGAGATAGCTGTGTCCTTGTTCTTTCTCACTCTGTACCCATCCTTCCTCTCTTCCTCCAGAGAGCTGGCCTTGCTGAACCACAGTCATCCAGGCCCATCCTAGATGCTGAGCTTGGGACTCTCCGTGGGAACATGGGCAACAACTCCTAGAGATTCTCTCTGCAGAAAGCTTCCTTCATACACTGCAAGCACTACAAAGCCCAATATGTAGACTCACAGCATGGCTTCAGACAGAGTTAGTGACTTCCTGGGTCTCGCACATTCCCATGACAGGCCCCCACTTCCCAGCTCCACGTCCTAACACAGATTCCTAGCATACAACACACCTGCTACCGTTGGGTGCTCTAACCCAATTGGGTCACATTTAATTCTGTCACTCATCCACAACCTAGAATACAATGTAGTCTGAACAATGTTGCCATTTGGACAGATTAGCAGATACAATATTGAAACAGCCTATTCATTTATTATTTTAATTATAATAATTATTACTATAGTAATTATTATTAAGGACTATAGCAAAATACAAGAGCTTCTAACATCTCTCTCTAATACATATGGATGTTGCCCAATTTCAGAAACTCTTGTGTTTATCCAGTGAGTTGCTCAGGGAATATCTTATTAAGGAAATTACTGAGCAAAAGAAATTAGTCTCTTAGGAATAATAACATCACAGGAAAAAGTAAGATATTCACTGTTTTAAAAGTCACTTTGCTTCCTATGAAAATAATTATGGCTTGTGAATTCCTATTCCTTTAGCTAGAATTAATCTCCTATAGGCATATCGCCATCAGAGAAAAAAATAAGAAGAGCAATCCCCACGGCAGCATACCAAAAAAGAACAATTTCATTTGGAAAATGTACATGGTTTTACTCCCTCCCTCCCATGAAGGCTCTTTACCATAAGGATGATTTGGGGATCTTGTTGCTTGGCCAGATCGATGATATCCACGTCGTTATAATAGAGATTCTCTAAGCATCCATGAAAATTTTTATGCAAGAATGACACAGATTTTGCAGGTGCTGGAATCCCTCCGAAGCTGATCTTAGAAAGAAAAGTAGCATCAATAATATTGTTTAGTGATTTTTAGGATAATTATGATGAACAACTAGCCCTGTCATCAGCACACACAGAGCAAATTTCCATCAAGTCACTCTGGAAAAGAACAGAGACACGATTGTTTTTAATACCTAATGTTCACGCATGTAGCACTTATTGATACTAGAGTTTGACAATTCCTATAAGTTGTTCATCACATCTGTTTTGATATAGTACTTTCCCGGGGGAGGGGGAAAATGCATCTGTCTATCCAGGGTATGCAAAAATCTGTTCAATAATATCTTCATAATGATGATGATATTTCATTTTGAATATATTTTAGCATAATCAATAGTTGTCTTTGTATCAATTGTTAATGGATTAATTGAAAGTGTTCGTGGTTACAGTCTCCCTCATAAGTCTAAATATTGATCAGAAGCACCCTATAACACAAAGAAATCATAAAACATATCCTATATTTACTTGTAACAATGGGATCTCTTTCTGGGGGAAATTTCCTCCATGTGCAGCTCTAGGATTACATATCTCAGTTAAAAATTGACAACCGCATGCTATTGAATGATAAATTCACACATTTGTCACGAGGCCATCAATACGAATGCAATTATTGATCACCTTCGGATGAACGTAAGTTAGGCTAGCCAGCCCTATGAAGTGGAGGAGGGGGGAGGATGGGGGGGGGGGTTCCTCTAGCACAGAATCTCTGCTGGAAAGTTAAACTACACATCCATCATCAAAATCTCATCCTAAAGAAAATCTGTATTAATTGAAATGTAACCATCACACCTCATAATCAAGATCCAGGTAACTGAGGTCTCCCTGTGCATGAAAACGACTCTTGTGCTCATCCACTGTGAAGTTGACCTGTTTGCCCCGTCGCTGAATGAGCACACTATGCCAGTGCTGGTCATCGAGCAGGCTGCCCAGGGTGAGATTGGTTGGAGAGTGAGTAGAGGGAAGTTTAGCTTCACCTAGGAAAGGATGGGGAAAAGACAGCATCGTTATTCCCAGGCGACACTGCCCTGCGGCATCTCATAGTAATTGCAAACAGGGAGCCTCGGTGTAACAGTCTCTAGACCTGGTTGTAATCCCTATCACTGTTAATTCCTTTTATTATCATTACCAATGGTGCGGCCATTGTCTATGTAAATTTCATCTTTGCTACAACCTCATTATTTTTACTACTGCAGTATTTTTCAATGACCCATGTCATTCTTTATGATGCTAGAAAATAGCCATGTCACTCTCTCCGAGAGAGAAGAGCCAAGGAGAGGCCTGTACCATTCCCAACATAGGAAACATTTCGACAAGAACGAGGAATACAGTCATACAGGCAAGCCCTGGGATCTGAAAATAAGATCGCGGTAGTGCCGAAGAGAATAAGCTCTGAATGCATATGGTTTTCTAAGGGCTGAGTTAATGGTTCGATTTTCGAGCAACCCACCAAAGAGTTTTACCTGCATTGATGAGTAAAAAAAGCCTTCCTCCTCTCAGCTCCAGTGTGATGGAATCTCCACCGGGCCCTGCTCTGTGGAGCAGGATCCCAGCACTCTGCATGGTTTTGAATTTCAAAGAAATCGTATCTTTCATGGGACTCAGAGATTTTTGATTGAATCTGTAGCTCAGGAAACTTTTTCCATCAAGATCAACCACCTCTGATCCTAGAGGCAAAGAGAGTAAAGGTCATTCGAAGGACAAATATGCTTTCATTAAAGCATTTTGAGTCTGTGTCTATGTTTGTGTGTCTATCTGTGGACATGTGTGTCTGTGTATACGTGTATTATATGAGTATGAGTGTGGGGGCATGTATGTGTATATGTAGGTGGGTATGTGTGTATGCCTGTGTAGGGGTATGGACACACAAATTTGTGTGTGCATGTGTATATACATGTCTGGGCATGTGCATTGTGTACATGTATGCATGTAAATTGTGTAATGTGTGTGTGTACATGTATACATACACAAACACATGTTTGTGTCTGTATGTGTGTATGTGTGTATATATGTGTATGTATATGTACGTATATAACCACCACGTATATGATCCTATTGAAACCCCAAGTTGATTCTAGCTTCGTTTTTATTAACTAATTACAAATTTTAATTATTTATTAATTTCATTATAGAATTCATGACCTAAAATATTTTTAGATATACACCTCACTTTTCTTTTATACTGTTAAAGACTATATTTCTTATTCCATTAAAAAGGAAGTCAGAAAAAAATGGCCATAGTCAATGTACGACAAATTACATTTTAACAATCAATATTTGAGCAACATTCATGAAAGTAATTAAAGGGGCTCTTTTTGCTTCAGAAAAAGCAATGGCGGTATCTGAAAATTCTTTCATCCATGTACTAGATCACTCTCTCTCACACACACACACAAATATATATATACACACACACAGACACAGACACAGACACACACACACACACAAACACACACACACACACACACACACATACACATACTCTCAACTGGTAAAACTCCATTTCTAGTACCCATTAAGCCACCCTGTATTCTGTCTTATTATGTAATTCTCATGATTAAGGAACCATAGTCAAGGGCAATGCCATTTCTTGCCTTCTCAAGGGCATCATTGGAAAGACATTTAGCTTAATGATATTGTAAGGTTTATTCTGCTGCGTTTTATGTCATAACTGGGACACTGACATGTTTTCTCAGCTTTCTGACAGCGCCTTCCCTACTCGTTGTCAAGATCGCACCAGTTCATCTGAAAGAAGATGTCATGTTACACTCGTGCCATAATAGCACGTTTGTCAAAATCAGTTGCGCCCTGAATTACACACACACACACACACACACACACACACACACACACACACGAGTCCAAAAAGAAAAAGAAAAAAATGCTCAGAATACTTAGGAACCCAAGTAGCATTTTCTACATTTTACAGATCAAAGAATTTTTTTTCTTTAAGATAATTACTCTTGAGTATATATTTATGTAATAAGAGCAGAGGTTAAAGAATCCCAATAAAATGTGAATCAATGTTTCTGCTGGTAAGCTAATTTCTTCCAGTCCACCCACTAACATGACAGCGTTCAGCTCAACACACATGACCATGACTACTTGTAGCGCAACTTCTCCATCAAGTCTCAGAAGTACCATCATCCCAATTATTTTCACTATTTTATATTGCCATCTTTTGACAAGTTAGGGGTTTGATTCTTTTCTCATGTGTCTTCCTGACGTGCTGATGAAGAATTCATTCGCCAAGCACACATGAATAAACAGTGCACTTTTTCAGAAAGAATCACGTTAACTAAACAATTATACCTTGTTATATAGCTGAATAAATGCACATAGGGGAAAACAACAGAACTTCGTGTTGAGCACAAATGACACGTTCTGCAATTATTATATTACAATAAATTAAGAACAAATTCGATAAAATAGACTTTAAATGCTGACACATTTGGAGCAATGCAGTTATCTCTGAGTTAACGGATTGCTTAAAGGCAAGTATCGCAGTAACGATTTCATTTTAAATGAAGACTATTTTGGGAATTAGCTACCAAGAGACTTCTTTTTCTCCCATAAAAGGTCCAGCCTATGTTACTTCAGCCTACTATTTTTCCCTTTTCACTGTTTTTTTAAATTATTATATTACAATAGTCACATTTGTCTTCTGTAGTACCTAAAGCTTTTGTGGCTAGACTATTTCCCTCAGCAAAAGAAAACATAACTGCAACTATTTCGGACAATGGACACTTACACTAATGATGTGGTGTTTCATTTCTTGTAAGGCTTACACGCTTTCTACTTAACAGGTGTGGAATTGTCTATGCAACCGTGGATGAAGTCATGGGAGTAGAGGTTTTAATCCCATCACATTTGAGAAGATGCTAGGATGAAAGCATATATAGGAAGAGCAGGGCCTAGGCCCTCTGGGAGCTTCTATATAGGAAAGATAAACATTTCCCAAATGAACAAATCAGTTCATGAAACCATTACACATTGTAACAGGTGCTTGGATCAAGTGGACCAAGGTTATGGGTTAAGGTCATTGAGAAAGGTCTCTTTCAGGTCTAGAAACCTGAGGCTGCTCAGCAATCAATAGTAATCTATAGTTGTCATGCTCTAAAATGTTTCCCCATAAACTAGATCACTCCTGGAACATTTAACTTCCAAAGGCTTAGGTTTTCTCCCAACACCGTTAAGATCACTATGAGGAAAGAAACTCTGAGGACTACTTAGAAACCCCAGTGACAGGAAAAGATTTAAAGCCCAGCTATAGGAGAGAGAGAGAGGGGCATCCTTTCACCAACTATGTCTAAAGGAAGAAAGTACAGGTGGAGTGAATTCAGCGACATACAGGAAGGCACTGAGTCACAGACTTCACGTGAGTATTAACAGCCTTCTTTGTGGGGCGGGAGGGAGCCAAGCATCATTCAAAACATGGGTACATCATCAGTACAGCAATAGTCAACACACATACATGTAATATAGAAAAATGTTCTAGTGATGTTTAAGAAATGAGCATGAATCTTCACATTGTTTCTTTAGACAGAACACTCATGTAGTCAAGCTGTTACTCATGACTGTTATCCTAGCTACTCAGGAGGCTGAGAACTGAGAAGCTTAGTTCGAAGCCATCCTGGAAAGAAAAGACTAAGAGAGGGGGCTGGGAAGGTGGCTCAGTGGTAGAGCACTTGCCTTGCATGCCTGAGGCCCTGGGTTCGATTCCTCAGCCTCACATAAGCAAAAAGAAAAAAAGCCGAAAGTGGCACTGTGGCTCAAGTGGTAGAGTGCTAGCCTTGAGCTGAAGAGCTGAGGGACAGCGCCCAGGCCTAGAGTTCAGGCCCCACAACCGGACCCCCCCCCCCCAAAAAAAGGAAAAGACTAAGAGACTCATCTCCAATGAGCCAGCAAAAAGTCAGACATAGAGATGTGGCTCATGTGGTAGAGCTCTAGCCTTGAGCGAGAAAGCCAAATGAGATCACAAGGCTGTGAGTTCTAGATCCACAGCTGGCTCTCCCAAAAAAGAATATTCACTTACAAGAACTCACTTTTTACTATGCTTATGAAAAGTAATCTGCATACACACACACACACACACACACACACACACACACACACACATCTCAGGGCCTTGCACTTATGCTGCAGGAATTCTACCACTTACATCTGCCTCCATTCTTTTTTTTTTTTTTAGGTTATTTTTCAGATAGTCTTGCACTTTAACCCAAGCCACTTCTGACCATAATTTTCCCAAACTCTACCTACTGAGTAGCTGAGAATACAGAGGTGAACCCCTATACTCAGTTTCAAAATATGATCTTAAACCATCAACAACAAATACTGAATTGTGAGATATAAAATAAATGATGTAAAACTGGAACTACTTAAAATTTTAAAAGGAAAAACAATCTTTCAACCTTTACAGAGAACATTTGAAAGCTATATATCAACAGTACTTAACTCTCCTAAAAAGCGATTAGAAAGACAAACATATCTACATAGTCTGTATTGAAAGTGATTGTACCACACTGTAAAAAAAGAACTGAAAAAACTGGACATAAATCAAAGTAACAAACTCACATATCACTACTGCATGAAAGCACTTTCTAACAGACCAAAATGGAAGTGGCTCAATTCTAGATGAGTTAATATGTGTCCGATTTTACTATTTATTATTATTGCCAAATACTCCTTATGTAGTAATACTATTTCGGCATTTTTCTTGGACACCTAAATAGGACTGCAAACACACTCACTCCCTTCAACTTTCTTTGAACAAACTTTACCATACTTCTAGTTCTTTCATTAATGGTTCAAACACGTATCTTTGAGGTGTATTTATTCCATATTTAAATGAGTCATGTTTGCATTCAGATACCATATCATTGACCAGAAAGCAATATTTCAAGTTTTTGCCATTACTGATAATGTTCTGAGAATATTCATTATCTACTGTACAAATATTTTTTGCATTTTCGGACTCCTGAGAGAACATTACCAATGGAAAGAAAGACATTCACACAAAAGCAAAATTTCTGGGTGATTCACCACAAATTTTCCTTGTAGATTTCTGGCGTGGCTTTTGTTTTCTTTGTTGTTATTTTGAGACAGGGCTTTGCTAGCTACTTCATGCTGAGTCCTCCTACTTCAGCCTCCTAAATTCTGGGATTATAAGCATGTATACATCATCATACCCAGCTCATGATATTTCCTTAAATTGAAACGAAACTATAAAAGATCTAGTGGGAGTATATAGAATCAAAAAATCAACTCAACTCCATATGTATTTGTTTAGAAATGCTAAACATCCAAAATGATATTAATAATGTTCTTTCATAATATTCATTAATAATTGTCCTATACATTCTTACCTCTTTTCAAACATTTGGTGTTTGACACTTAGTGCCCGAACAGTTTGACAAAAGAACACAAGGAATATGGCAGACATTTCCTAGGCATCCAACTTTACTCTCTGTATTTAGCTGATATAGATATATATACATATATGTATATATGTATGCATGTATAAAGTAAAAATGTTAGAAGGAAAATTAGAAATATTAGAAAAGTGATTAAGTGAAATGCAGCTGTATGTCAGTGGCTCTTGCCTATAATCACAGCTACTTAGGAAGTGAAATGGATAAGATCAGATTAGAGACCACCCAGGGCT